ATAAAAGATGAACAAAGTAACCCACTAATTAATTCAAGGTTATCTCCTTTAACCCCCAAGTAATTGAATTATTAACATTCAACCGCTAACTTTTTAATTATAAGCAGGAATAGTCCAAAACGCCCCTTAAAACATTTAACAGAAATCCGATCCAGTCAGGGTTACGCAGCCTGTGACGGCCCGTCGTGCCTGCGACGGTCCGTCCTGCTGCTTTCGTCACAAAGTTCAGAGAGTCGATTTTGTTTAAGACTCTGTGACGGTCCATCGTGCCTACGACGGTCCGTCCTTCCATGTCGTCGCGAAGTTCAGAGAGTTGTTCTTAGTACCCAAATTTCCAGAATCTAAGTGTTTTGGAACGAGACCCCCTCGACAGTCCGTCGTGGGGTCCGTCGACTCAGACAGTTATTACCAGAAAATAAACTCTACTGCTCAAAACGACTAACAGGTCATTACAGTAGGACTTTAATTATACAGTGAAGAATACTTGTAACCATAGATTTATAGAAGTCTTTATCTTGTTTACAATTGTGTTAGGAAAAGTTAGTCTTCTATTTCGTTTAGAATTGTATTGGGACTTTTATTTGTTTTTAAATTCAATTAAGAAAGGAACGGGACAAAAGTTATTTTTAAAAGATCAATTAAGAAAGGAACAGGACAAAAGTTATTTTTAAAAGAGAAAAAATAGAATTTAAAGTAAAATAAAGCTTACCTTCGGCGAGATTCGATCTCGGGCGCTGGCGCTTCAAAGAGGAGACTTTGAAGTGCACCTGCAACAACTTTTTGTTCTTAGGATGCACAATTATATATATTATCATTTTAATAACTATCTATACATATATATATTTGATTTTAAAAAAAAATTACCAGGTGCATGTGGGTCCGCCATGCTCTCATCTCATGTAGAAGTGTTTCTGCGAGTTGTAGCATGTGCTCATATTCTTCAAGGATATGGTCTTACTAAAACATGTGTTGATACATTTGTGTCGCTACCCAACCAATTTCATATACTCGGTGCGGCTGGTCCTGCATTGCCTAGTATGAATGTGTGCTTGGTGTAGCTATTCCTGAAATGAAATATGATGCTCTTCAAACACACCACGTGGAGAAATCTGTTTACTCTATTTTGTTACTACAAGCGTGAAGATCTTACAAAAGAAGTCAAAGATTGATGGATGGTTGATTCTATACATGGGATATTGGTGAGTTGTAATCAAATGGTAGCTTGAAGATAATTGATCGCATGAAGAATATTTTCAAGCTATCGTAAGGAGAATATGTTGCATTAAAAAATTTGGGGAATATGTCTTGCAATAATCATGTTATTGACTCGATATGGATATATAGGAGCAGCTATAGGTATTTCCTTCTTGTTAATCCAAGTAACAAACAGGTTGAAAAATGGGCCTCTCTGGGGATTGTAATTACTTATGTAAAATTAAGAGGTGAAAGAGCACATGCTAGGAGAACTTACTAAAGTTGAAAGAGAAAAGAAGTAGGAAGGGATTTGAGTTCATGAAAAGGCTCTACAACTTGATCTAGTTCCACTTGACATGAAACATGACCTCCTGACTCCAATACTTAAGATGAAAAGACCACAATTGTTAAATACTACAAGGATGTGATTGACACCATGTTCAAGGATGCTAAATAAATTTGCAAGGTTTGAAATTAACAACTTTTCTTTTTAACTAAATCTCCCCCTTTTTATGGTTTTTTTGTTTTGTACTATACATATTACTCAAATAATATGAGATTATTTTTATCAAAAATCGAATTACCTTGTAAAAAGAATAATTAAAATCAAACATATTGAGCCCTTGCTGCCAATCTAGTACCAAATAAGAGAAGATAACATAAATAGTCACTTAATTATAGAATTAGGTCAAAAATGGTTCCTTGACTATACACTTAATAGATTTAGTCCTTAAACTATTAAGAAACTTATCAACTTTGGTTCTTTAACTATACATATCGATTTTAGCTCCTTAACTATACACTTACCGATTTTAACCCTTAACTATACACACCGATTTTAGTTTTTCAAGTATTTAAAAACTTGTTAGGCTTGGTCTTTGTCCATTTCTTTAAATACAAATAGTTTAGATTTATATTAACGGAATTCTTCATGCAATTAAATCTTTAACCCACTTCTAAGTTGTTTATCTATCCGACACTTTTTTCTTCAATCTATTTTTATGAAAAAAAATAACGTCAACGATTTAAAATAAATTTAATGAGAAAAAAATCCTAATTTTATTTAATGGAGGATAAAATTAAGCATATAGTTGTTGTTAACTGTTTGAGTCTGCACTTGAATATGTTAATAATTTACTCAAATCTCTTTACCCAAAATAAGACGAATAGAATAATAAAATTGATCTATTTAAAATAAAAAATGAAAAATTGCAAATAATACCATTTTATAAATTTCAATTTCTGAATAATTAAACAAATTTTGTTCAATGAAGTCGTCGGAGGACAAACTTTGGATTTAACGGGTAATATTTTTTTCTTTTTGTAATAAAATTTAGCATATTCAAGTCATTATTAGCAATAATATGCTTCATTTTTTATCTTCTGTTGGATAAAATTATTACTTATATTTTCTTACCTTGTGAATTTTATTTTAAATCGTTGAGGTTAAGGTTCTTCGCATTGAAAAAAAAATAGTGAAGAAAGAGAGAGAAACAACAATAAAATTGGTAAGAATTAAATTTCTCGAGGCATGAGTTCTGTTAATATAAATCTAAGTTATTTGTATAAGAAAATGGACACCGAACTTGATAATTTTTTAAAATACTTAAAAGACTAAAATCAAGAAAAGTGATTTTTTATGTGAGGGAGGAGTGATATTTTTTTTTGTTTGTTTATTAAAGCCAAACCAAGTTCCTGGTGTCTCTTCTTATCCATATACATGAGGGGCGCAGCAATGTTGGTGAGAGGCGTGGGATCCATATTGCAGATGCAGTTTGCCCAGCCATACGGCGGAGTTTCAAAAATTATGAACAAAATAATGGCAATTGATGCCGACAAACTCCGCTCTCAGTTTCTTCACCTCCTTCACACCCGTCGTACTCCACAAGGTCATTTTTTTCCTGCTTTCTGTTATAGATTACAAATTACAATTGGAAAATACAAAAACACTTTCTAATTTATTTGTCTTTATGAGAATGACCTATGCTATCTCTTCTATCTGTTTTTTTTTCTGAGTAATGAAAGCATCAAAGTATTTTCGGAGTTGCTAGCGCCTTTATATTAGTCACTCAAATTCAATTTGTTTGTACATTTTGACTTGCACAAAATTAACTTACTATACTACTAAGTAGCAAATGAAGGATACTTATATATTGGCAGCATTCCGAGTAACTCCTCAACTTGGGGTTCTACCTGAAGATGTGGGGTGGTAGCTGCTGAATCTTCTACAACTGTATAGACGGATGAACTTACCTGTCTTGATTGTTACAAAGGGCGATACTAGAATGTTATTGAACAAAAGAATCAACATATTGCTTATGTAGCTTAGCTTAAGACCTTTAAGATGAAGGTTTCATTACCAATATATATGACACAAAATTTAAGAAAAATGACTTGATGTAAAGAAACATAAAATGTACCAAAATGTCATCAAGTTTTATGGTCTTAAAAATGACATGAGGAAAATTAAAATTAAAGAGTTACTCGAAAAAAATTGTATTGAAATGGACTTAAACAGAAGGTGAGACAAACCAAATTGAAAACTAGGGAGCATCTGTTTCACTTTTCTTTGGCAACTAGTCAAAATATATTGACTTTCCACCTTTTGCACTTTTCTTTTTTTAAAAAAAAAAAAATCGGCATGGATTGTATCAAACTTGGGATACTTCTCTTTAAGTTTCAACTTTTCAAAAATGAAATTAGAAAAAGTACTTGTATAAATTTTTCATGGACGACTGCCGTGGAGGCCTGAAAACAAGACAGTTCAAAAAAAGGACCATCTGTCTTTGCACTTTCGAGAATAGAATAGATGAGACGGCTGTAATTGACAAAGTAGGGGAGGTCAAATGGTGCTTTACTTTTTCATCTGCTCAGGTAGTTGATGGGGAATTTCGCTATAGTATTAACACAATATTCTCACTATTATTGGAACTTAGGAACTAGATTGAGGACATAGATAAAGTAAAAGTTGGGCTTTATGTGTCGTGTTGCAAGTGTTTCTTCCATTCATTCTCTATGATGCTCCGACTCTTCAGAAATGCCATCAGGTGTGGGTCGGATCCTCCAAAAGTAGTGCATTTGTGAAGTATCTGACACGGTATGACAACATGTTTGGAGAGTCCAAACAACTTAGTATATTTCCATAGTTACATAGTCTGAAGACCTGTAGCCACTTAACGCAACAATATCACTCTGCTACCGGATTTTCTTGTTTCAACTACACACGTCGATTGTTGAGATCAGTTTTGTGTTTTTCCTCATTTACTAGACTTGGTGGATTCTTTTCTTACTGCCCTGAGACTAATCAAAGAAGTTGTTATTTTCCTATATGTAATTCATTCCAGTTCCACTCTGTGTGATACCTGGGAAACCTGTGAATGATCCATTATATCAGGAATTTCCAAAGCCAATATTCAGTGAGGTCATACAACGCCTTCACAAGCTTGATATTTTTGTTTCTGCACCTACTTCCCGTTATTTTTACAGATGATATTTTTTAATACAGGTAATGTCATCTTGCCCTAAAGAAGATATTCCCAATATGAAGGAACTTATTCAGGAGCAAAATTTCTACTTGACCACAGAGGTTATATGGTTTCTATTTTTTCATTCCTTCTTATGATTTCTTAAATGCAAATAGTTTCTACAAAGGTAAAAGACTTTAGGATAAATTTTAATTGTGCCTTTTTTCCCCATCATAAGTGTTAGTGAAAGTAGAAATATTCAGTGTTCCCCTTTTCTCCCTCCCCTAATGTGTAGGAAAAAAAGTATTACCGAGAGATAGAATACTATGCTTTGATCCCTTAATCATATTAGTTGGGAATTGGGATAGAACTTTTTTACTAGCTTTTTTGCTTGAAGTTTTCACTTCTCTTATGTATGAAGTCTAAAGAGAATAACTATTGTGTCAACTGGATTTTCTCTATAAAACAAAAATGACTATGATTTAAGCAACTACAACAACATACCCAGTGAAATCCCACAAAGTGGGATCTGGGGAGAGTAGAGGGGAGGGTAGAGTGTACATAGGCCTTACCACTACCTCTTAAACTTGAAGGTAGAGAAGTTGTTTCTGGCAAAGTAGTCTGTAAATGAAAAAATGGTAGCAGAGATGAGTATGATAACTAATAGTGAAATTGTGTGGAGCATATATGTATGGAACCGTAACCTCAACAAAAAGGTGCGATCACCTAAGCATATGTCCAATTATGGTCGGTTATCTGAATCCTCACTATTCATTTCACTTATTTGGACTGGAGTGCCTCAATGGTGTTTGAACAGTAAATAAGAGTGCCAAAGGTTCAGCGATAATTAAAAACGACTGAGCATAAGCAGTCAAATGAAGTGGCTGTGTCAATTATAATTCTTTTGTTACATGAAGAATCAGATGAATTGAATGAAGATTTATGTGGGAATGCTCATTTTTCAGAAGTAATGTTCTCAATGTCTCATCTATAAGTATTGCACATGAACTCACTGTTTCCAGGAAGGAGAGCAAGGACGGTTGCCTGTCTTGGTATTGAGCATGAAGGAAGCCACTAAGAAAAAGAGGCCAGCTATTGTCTTCCTGCATAGTACAAACAAATGTAAAGAGTGGTTACGGCCATTGCTTCAGGTGATATTCTGTTTTCTCAAAAGTACTCCCCATATTACCATCGAGCAGAAGAAATGAGTGACAATTGTATGTACAATTTTGATATTTTCTTTTTTGGATTCAGGCATATGCTTCAAGGGGATACATAGCTGTAGCAATTGATTCTCGATACCATGGAGAACGTGCCACCAATACGACAACATATCGTGATGTAAGAACAGGTGCATTTGCTCTTTGCTTCTGTTCTTCTCTTGGTTATCTTCTCAGAAGAAAAAAGTACACTTAGGTCTAATAGGCTATTTGTGCACTGTCCTATATGTAGTATGTACAATTGTTCTGCATTTAGTAGAAAAATCTTTGGCCTTTTTGTTTTGAAGGATCCATTTTGTTGCGCCTGTACAAGTACTTCGCTTATTCGGAGTATAAACAATGTCGGAGAGTACTTGATACCCTGTTATTATTGACTTTTTATTAAGGAGGAGAAATCAGGAACTGAACTTGCATTCTATTTTCTTTCGGTTAAATGCTATTATCTGATTGAGTTGATTATCCTTGCTGCTTTTTCTACAATACAGGCCCTTATATTGTCATGGAAAAAAGGTGATACAATGCCGTTCATATATGATACGGTAAGGAAATAGAAATTTGTTGTTGACAAAGTACAGTGTTCAGTGTCAAACTACAGGGCTTATTATGTAATATCTGTCTAGCCTCTGAGGATAATAATTCTCTGCAAATTTTGAAGGTGTGGGACTTGATAAAACTAGCGGATTATCTAACAGAGAGGGAAGATATTGACTCGTCAAGGATAGGAATTACTGGTGAATCACTTGGAGGTTAGGCGAGTCACTTGACAATTTACATGCAATATCTAACTGTTTCTTAAACATGTGGAGTTCATATATGTTCTGTGCTGCAGGTATGCATGCATGGTTTGCTGCATTTGCCGACACTCGTTTTTCAGTGGTTGTTCCTATAATCGGAGTTCAGGTGACCCTTACTTGAGTATTAGGTTGTGTGAAGATGAGGAAATATTTGCGGATATATCAATAGGAGATCTATTATGGAGATCTTGTGATAAGGTTGCAGGGATTTCGGTGGGCTATTGAGCATGATCGATGGCAGGCAAGAGTTGACAGTGTCAAAGATGTGTTTGAAGGTGGCATAAACTAGTTTAACTTTTAATTGGCTTTATCAGCTTCTTATTAGTGTTCTATATGTGGGTCTTAACATACCGGAGATATCATTTGTTTGTCCTTTCAGAAGCACGTTCCGATTTAGGCAAGAATGAAATTGACAAAGAAGTGGTTGAGAAGGTCAGGATTTCGTCCTTCTTAGTACCCTTTCTTGCATATTTGCATGTCGAGCAAGCGACTTGATCATTTTGTTATAGTTATCAGTTCCCAAAATGTAGCACAAGAAGTTGTTAACTTCTAATGATAATATTCATCAACCAAATATTTCTATTTGACGTTAATTAGAATACATGACCAGGTCTGGGACAGAATTGCTCCAGGTTTGGCTTCTCAATTTGATTCACCATACACCGTCCCAGTCATTGCCCCACGCCCTTTGCTGATTTTAAATGGTACGATCTATCCATTCATATGATTTGTTATACTTCATGCCATCACCATTTAGTACACATAAATTATCAAGTATTTACCATTTCAAATTTGTGGTAATAGCTGGAAGATAACTCTACATTTGTGATATGTAGGAGAGGAAGATCCGCGTTGTCCAATTGCTGGCCTGGATATTCCAACGTCAACAGCCCAGGAAGTTTGTGCAGATGCTGACTGTCCACTTAATTTCAAGGTACAAAGTTATTCAAGATAGTGAAAGTCGCAAGAAGTTAAAACGTTAGTGTTTGTACATATAAGTTTTGTTTCCAGTTTTCACGCTATTTTTTGAAATTTTTGTTCTTTGTAACATTTCAGCTGACAGTTCAAGCTGGTATTGAGCATCAAATGACTCCATTGATGGTAAAGGAAGCTAGCAATTGGTTTGACAAGTTCCTTAGAATGTAATCGATATACATTTTTCTCAGCTACTATTTGCATTCTGATTAAAGTTCGGGACAAGTGATATCAAAGATTATGAAATTACTTGGAATAATTTAAATTACAATTTTATACCATGTCAATTTTATGTTTTATATAAAGTTCAATTAGCATCAACTCCACATTTATATTCACTTATTATTTATTTTATATGTAACATAATTTATTATTCATATCATTACTTTTTAAATTATTCATATCTCGTATAATGATGATTATTCTCACCAATATAGAATTTATTATTATTTTAAGTTGATTTCTATTTTGTCATTTATATATCACTAAATTCATTTATTTAATTAAATTTATTTACCAATCAAATTGATGAAAGAGAAAAATAAAATAAAATGAGGAGGGGAATAAATATTTCACAAATAAGAATTTTGAAAATTATAAACCTATATAAGTTTTAAGGTCAATAATTATGAGTATCTATAAAATCACCAATTAAAAATGGGCATGAGTGTGCACACTCTATATTTCTCATCAACATTTATGATGTATTATTCTATTTTAAAATAGTTTATACAGTAATTAAGTCCTAACTAAATATAATTTCATGAGATTTCAGATATAATTCAAATCTTGTTCAAATAAAAATAAAACTTTCTTATAAAGAAACAAAACTTAATACAATCATCACATAAACTGCCAAAAAAATATTTTCTCTATGGTCAATAAATCCTGCGCTTATAATAAGACTCATAATACTCTTCATTCGAATCTTAAGGGGTAAAATTAAAAATGGCTTCTTCAATATTCTCTCTTCTTTTCCTTACTATTTGTTCTCTTTCTCATGTTCTTTCATACTCATCAAAAAATTTATTGGATTCCCATGATCCTATGAAAACAATGGCTGAAAAATTCATTAGTCAACTTAATTTATTCCCTAAACATGACATAAATATTATTGTTTCTTCAAAAGATCAAATAGTTGATCAACAAAGACTATTTGAAAAGAAGTTGATTTTATCTTATCTTGGTCATTCTGGTGCTACTGTTCAAGACTTAGCTCATCATGCTGGATATTATCATCTTCTGCATACTAAAGCTGCAAGGTTATATTTCTTATCTCGAGTTAATATCTTAAATGATCACTTGTAGAAATTTATTATTTATCTCGAATAATTATTATTTTTTATAGAAGAAAATTGTTATGAAAAAAGAAATGTAACTTTTTATGAGATGATGATAAGTATCAGTTGTCAACTGAGAAATCCAGTCCTTTTTGTCTATCAATATTAATTTATGTGATACCTTTTAAATTTTAATCGAGATTCAAATTAGTTCTTTTTCAATTGTAGTTTATTTATATTTTTTTTAAATATTTTGATTATTAATTCTTGTAACTTAATTTATGTTACACTTTTTAGATTTCGATCGAAATTCAAATTAGTTCTTTTTTTTTAACTATAGTTTATTTATATTTCTTTTAAATAATTATTGTAACTTACATTACTTTTTAAATGGTTTCTAAAAATGAAAATTTTATTTCAAAACCTGGCTGATTATCTTGAAATCTGAATTGTATCATAATGAAAATGTATTTTAGTATAGATTGTTTTGTTCTTATTCTTTTCATATTATAATGATTTTAATTAATTAATGAAAAATTACTATTTTTTATTTTGTTTTGTATAGGATGTTTTATTTTTTCTTTGAATCAAGGAGTAACAAGAATGATCCAGTAGTGATGTGGCTAACAGGAGGGCCAGGTTGTAGCAGTGAATTGGCTTTGTTTTATGAAAATGGACCTTTTCAAATATCACATAATATGTCTCTTGTCTGGAATGAATTTGGCTGGGACAAGGTAAAGTATTAATTTTAACTGATATTTTTAAAATTATAAGATTAACAGATAGTATAGTTCAGATATACAAGATTCAAAAATTTTAGTTCCTTTTTTATTTTCTTTTAACTCTATTTTTTATCAGACTAGAAAAACAAATCGAAACATATAAGTAATTATTAGCAACTTGTTATTGAACATTTTGCTCTTATGCAAAGTATCTTCTCGACTACTACTGACCAATCTTCTTTAAGTTAACATCTTACTGATCATTTGTTGTGACTGATTAGTAGATTTTTTATTTTTTATTTTAATTTGAAGTAGTTAACGCTTATTGACTTATGTGAATGTTAGTTCTCTATCTCTAAACTAGTTTATATTAACTTAATCAATAAATTCAATGAAAAATTAAAGGGCCTAAAATATCTTTGAAATATTAGAAATGATATAAAATTACTCTCCATCCACCTATTGGCTTCAAAATACTTTTCTCATCCACCTATTGGATTCACAATTAACCACTTATTTAATGATTTTAAATTTAATTTTTTTTTTATACACGACGTTTAACTATTTGTTATAATTTAACTACCCATTACTAATTAAATCACATCCAATTAATAAACTCGCTCTATTACTAATGCACAACACGAAAGCTACTACAAATGAGTGTTTATAAAAATTTGATGCGAAAATATCTATAGAAGTACATTATCATACATTCAAGTCCTTAATCAAAATTATAATTCAAGTGTCTAAATAAAAATTACCGATAAACTTAAAAGTTTGACTATGTTCATCTTAATTATTCATCCGTCTCAATTATGTGATGTTACTTAATAAATAGCTTTTTTAAAAAGATATATTAAAGTTTAATATTTAAAATAAATAATAAATATTTATAAAATAATATTTAAAAGTTCATGAATTAATTCGAAAAATGCTACTTCTTTACCTTAAATCATAAATTTAAGACTTTAAAGATATTTTAGGCTTTTTTTTATAAATTCAATATTAATTACTGTAAAGGTATTCCTCAATATTGAATGTACATACCATAAAAAATATGAAAAATATTTTATAAAATAGAGTTCCAACAATGTTAGCATGTAACTTTCCTTCTTAGGATGAAAATTTATATGGGGAAATTAAGTAAATCTCCCACAAAGGTAAAATAGTTACAAATATATATCTTTTCATATTTATATCCACTAAATAATTATACTATATAATTTTTAACTAATTTTACTTAATTGATACTAAATAAGTATCATATGCTATATTGATATCATTAAGACCGATAATTTAGTTGATATTAAATTAGTATATATATATTGGTATCATTAAAGTTTCTTGTTTAGAAATGAGAAAAGGCATAAAGTCAACACTTAAGTTATGTCAAATTTTCAAAAAGACATTTTAACTTTGCAACAGTCTTATTACTCCAATAAACAATTTTGAATAGATATAATTATATTATTTTTTGTACACTTGACATAGAGTGGTGTGCACTCTCTCAAAGAGAGTGAGCAACCTATAATAAATAATATAATTTTATTTTTTATAAGTACTTTATTATAAAATATATTTTCTTATTTTTCTTGTTATTTTAACTTTTTTTCCTTTTTATTTTTTCTTTCTCTTTCTTCTTTCTTCTTTCTTCTTTCTTCTTCAAAAATCCATTCTCATCTCCATCCATTAAAGCTCTTAGTTTCAATGTCATTATTCTTACCACAACTTCACCTCTCTTTTTTATTACTATGAATATTACTCTCTTTCATTTTAAAATTTCATCTAAATATTTTTTTAAATTTCGAACAATTTAATAAACATATTATATTTCATGATGATCAAACAATATCATATAGCTTTTTTATCCGATTTCAATTAAGTTCTTTCAATTTTTGCGAATTAATTGATTCTTTTAATATTATCATTTCTAATTTTGAATTTATATGAAAATGAGTAGTTTATGATACCTTCTAAATTTTCTTAGAAAAATAATTAATTTTGCTATCAATAATTCAATAAAGTCTAAAAAATAATAAAAATTCTATAAAGAATTTGACCAGAAGAAGAAAAAGAAAATAAAAAAAAATTGGAGTAGGGCTCAATTTGACATGGGGTGTAGGAGGTGAAGAAAGAAAAGGATAATAGAGGAATGAATCATTTGAAAGTGAGAGGAGGGAGATGAACTGAAATTTTAAAAGTCAAAAAGTAAGAGATAGAGAGAAATAAAGTTAAAAAAGAGATAAGGAAAACTCAAAATAAAAAAATACATTTTAAATTAAATTAACATGTATCATATAATGATTGGTGTGTGAACACACTTGCTTCTTAAAACTTGGGGTTGATCGAAAAATGGTATAATAATATATTTTCAAAATTGTTTAGTGGGGTAATAAGATAGTTGCAAAATTAAGGTGTCTTTTTGCAAATTCGAGACAAGATCAGTGATGACTTTATGTCTTTTCTCTTTAAAAATTAATCATTAGTCAATGATACTATAAGAATATATATACATTCTAAGTATCATTGACTAATGAATAATTTCTAAACAAGAGACCTTAATGATAGACATATACTCTTATAGCATCATTAGGGGGTGGCTCGACAGTGTTTAAAAAAAAGACATGTGTCTTTAGCCCCCAAATTTAAGGGGGCTCATTTTAAATAATAATAGGTTATAAGTTATATTTTAACAAATTTTGAATACTGTTTGTAGAAAAAGTAATCTTTTCATGAAAATTGAAGGAATTATTAGAAGAAATTAGACATATTTGAAGTACTATATCTCATAAAAAATAATTTAAAATAAGAATGGTGATATTATCAATTGAAAACTAGAAGAAATCAATTTTATAAAAGTTATTGACGATTCAAGTTTAAGGCCCGTTTAATATTTCTTTTAGGCCACTAATATGCTTGAGCCGCTCCTAAATATCATTCACAAACGAGTAATTTCTTAACTAGAGACCTTAATGATACCAATACTGATTTAATACTTCCTCTTTCCCTAATTATTTGTTCATTTTTGAATTGTCACACCTATTAAAAAGCAATAATTGATATATAGTGAGTTTACCATTTTAACTCTATTAATTACAAAGTTGATAGATTAAAAATTGTCCTATTATTTTTAAAGTAATTAATTAAGGGTATAATGACCAATTTTTTTTTCCATTCTTAATTTATTAAAATGAACAAGCGATTAGAAATAATTAAAAAAAATATGAATAAATAATTAGAAACAGAAAAAGTACCAATTAAACAAAATAATCAACCTCAATGATATCTATATGATATAGTTGTATGGGTTAAAACCTTTGGCCC